TTAGCACCCCTAGCTGCTATCTACATGAGCGACGAAGGGAACACGAGGTCGTCTGCATTGACATTTGCGCATAAGTTGCCAACGTAAGATCGGGCGCAAGCGCCATCGCTTCAGCGTAGCGTGCCGCGCTGGCGGCCCGCGCAAGCCACCGCGTAAGGTCGTCATATCATCTCACGTAAAACTCGTTTCTCATCATCGCCCAATTGGTTGACTAGCGTAGATTTGGCGTCGACTCAGGTCGCTAGCGTCTCTGAGCGTCGATTCGCAGGAGCCAGCAAGATGGCACTGGAGGTTCCATGAGTTGCCACTGATGTCTGTTCCTCTGGATGAGGCGAGAGGACGACGACGACGACGACGACGACGACCACGACGACGACCACGACGATGACGACGACGACGACGACGACGAGGCCCACCTGCGGCGCGCGGCCTCTCGGCGCGCCAGGCGGAGCGGCCGAGGACGCCGCCCCGGGCCGCAGCGGCGCGGCGGCGCCGCCGGGCCCCTCGGAGGCGGGCCTCGCGCGGCGCCGGCCCGCGCCGCGGGGCGGCGGCCGCAGCGCCGCGGACCCCCTGAGAGTTCCGGTGCGGAGTGCCGGGAGCACCGTCGTGGGGGTCTGGGCCAGAGGCGGGGGCCCCCGCACGCGGTGGAGACCACCCTCCTCCTCCTCCCTCCTCCTCCTCTTTCAACTTCTCCTCCTCCTCCTCCTCCTCCTCCTCCTCGTCCATTTCCTCCTCGTTTTCCTCCCCTCTCCGCATCCTTCCCCCCCCCTCCCCCTCTCCCAGTCCTCGCCGGCGGCCCCTGGAGCTCCAGGCGGAGTGCCTAGGGGTCTGGGCTTGCAGGGGCCCCCGCACAGGTAACCACACCTTCCCAGCTTGAAACTGGAGCATATCTAAGTCCCTATGTTTGGCTTCACTTTGCCTCGATACCGATCTTAAGGGTGCCCTCAGTAGTCTTTGGGCCTATGCCCGAATATTGTCATCGCTTTTGGCTTGCCCATCTTAGGGGTAGTGATCAGTTCCAGGCTGGTTAACACAGTGTGGTGAGTCGGTGGGGATTCGGGGTCACCGCACGGTTTTGGGACGTAGGTCGTTCGGAATCGGGCGACTGGGGCCTCGGAGGTTCCAAAACCGTGTGGTGACGGACCCTGCGGTGAGGTCTTTGTGGATTTCGACTTAACCGCCGGGTCTGTCACCACACGGTGTTGGGACCCCCGATTGAGCAATGGCTTGGCATCGCTCGGACGTGTGCATTTTTATCAGCGAAGAAGGACCATCGAGGAGCATCTTGGATCATCTTGCGGATCAATAAACGCACGAACTCGAAAGATACACGAGGAATGGGCGTCCGAGCGATGGCGAGATGGGGGCAACGCCGTTGGAAGTGCAACAGTTCGCTTGCGCGAACTGTTGCACCTACTTTTGCGCGAACTGTAGCTGGGGGGCAAGAGCTGCTGCAGTGGGCGTCAACTATTGCAAGGTCTGCCGCCGCCGCCAGCCCCAGAGCTCCGACGGCGTTCTTGGATCACCGTGGGAGGTGTAGAGGCGAGCCTCTGGGCTCGGGAGTGTTTTGGGCCCCGGGGACCGTCAGAAACCATCTGGGGTGAACAACTGCACCAGGTGGACCCCCAGAAGGGTCTGGAGACAGAGTTCGAGCGAATTTGGCAACATTCCCTCTCGTGGCCGATTTGCTGGGGCCTCGACCAGGTCCGACCTCTCGGCTGCTTTAAAATTAGCCTGGACGGTATTCTTAATTAGCCGTAATATTGACAAGCCCAAATGTGATCACGATCGTAGGGATGCGCCCTCAGAAAATGAGGGAATCCTGAAGATCGGCGTCAAGATCAGGTGATGCCAATCGTAGGGATAGGAGTATGCTCCAGGCTAGTAAGCGACGGCAAAGAAAAGGGTTGACGGCACCGGCACTCGCGCGTAAGCTGCCCGCGTAAGGTCGCGCGTGAGTTCCTTCTTCTCCACGCGGTGTGTCACGTTGGCGGCCCGCTTAAGCCGCGGCGTAAGGTCGCTACGACATCATGAGTTAAGTATTTTTTTTCGTCGCACAGGTGGGCCTAGCACTGGTCCTAGGTGGGTTGCACGCGCCCTGAGTTTGAAGAGCAGACAACGGGACAGGGGCATAAACAGGATTTCGCGGAGGTTCGCCCAGACTTCTTGGATCAGCGCCGGACCCCCTGGCACCCTCCGCGCGCGAATGAAAGGGGTAAAGCCTGTCGCTCCTCTGAGAGCTGATGCTTACGCAGTTTTGTGCTCCTCTTTAAGTGGCCTAGGGTGGTTCGATACCTCAAGTCGGCGGAGCTGACATCGCCTGGGTGTTTTACCCCCTAAGCCACTTAGGGTACTCATAGCCCACTTGTAAGCTATTGTGGGCAGATATATTAGCATCCCCTCTAATCCCCTATCCCCTTAGCAACCCCCGCGGTAGTCCAAGCGGTCTTTTCTCGGCGGCGCGCCGATTGGAGGAGTCTGAGGAGGTCATTCGAGACAATGGTATATAATTGGGCTTCGGGGGGGGTCCCTCGTCGCCACGGCTGGACGCAGCTCGGGAAGCTGGTGGGTTTGGACCCCAGGAGTGATATGGGGTACGACTTGGTGCCGTTGACTAATTTCGCTTTGCCCGAGGAAGAGAGAGGGGGCAGGCCTTATTAGAGTGCGGCGGGATTCCCAGAAGTTTCCAGGCCGTCTCACAGGATTCCTGTGACCGCGGAGAAGGTTCAGCAGGCTTTTCAACATCGTTTTTCTGAGCCTCGGCCATCGGAGCCTTCTGAGAAGGCCCGCCCCCTCTGCCTTCCCCCGTGAGCGCGCTGCCGATCTTTTCAAACCCAGGCCCTCAACCAGGCTGAGAAGTGTCTTGTTGTTTTCGGGGAGAGCACGGACAACTTCTAAGAACGCTGGGGCACTTCCGAGCCTTCTGAGAAGGCCTTCTCCTTCTCATCCCCCCCTTCGCTCGCCGCCGAGTACGTCGGCCTCACAGATGGGGGTCCGAATAGGTGGGGTCGGAGGATCGCGCTGCGTCGGCGATGCGTCGGCGATGCGGCTCGGTGTGGGGCCCGATTTGCTTCACGCCGACGGCGCCGACGCGCCGCCGACGTCGCCTATGGATCGGCGATGCGTCGCCGATGTGTCGGCAATGCGGCTCGATCCCCCGACCCCATCCACTCGGGCACCATGTAGGATGCGCCGATCGGGGGAAATTCGCGTGGACCGTCGAACGTCCATGCTCACCATTCGTTTTTGTTCAGCATGATCCCGAGATGTTCTTTGAAGCTGGTCTAGGGGCCATCGCCAGCTTGTAGCCGGTCGTGTGTGATCAAGGGCAAGGCGATGTGGTTTTGCACCGTTTAGCCTGCGCTGCATAGCTTGCGTCACGTAGCGTTCACTCTGTAAGGCCCAGACGGGATCATTAAACATGGAGTAGACGGTGACGATGTTTCGAACGAAGCCACGCCGAAATCAGGCGTATCGCAAGGACGTCTCAGGCGAAACCGCGCCCAAACCAGGTCAAGCCAGGCAAATCGGTAGGATGTGTCAGGCGAAACCGCGCCGACCCGAGGGAAACCGTGAGGACGAATCAGGCGCAACCGCGCCGAAGCCATGCCAAACCGGGCCAATTGCGAGGACGTCTCGAGTAGAATCGTACCGAAACCAGGGCAAACCATGCAAATTGCAAGGACGTTTCAAGCGAACGCGCGCAGAAACCTTCAGGCTAATTGTTGAAGTCAGGCCAAAGCAGGCAACCCTTGAGAACGTCTCAAGTGGAACCGGTCCCACACCAGGGGCCAAACCAGGCAAAGTCTGGGGATGTCTCAGGCGGGGTGCTCTGCTAATCTAGGCCAAACCAAACCAAACCAGGTCAACGCACGGGCCAAACCAGGCACATTCCGAGGACGCCCTGAGCGAAACGCTCCAACCTTGCTCCATCTATTCTAATTTGTAATACGAAGTCATGGATGACCCAAGGGGGTTATGCCGCAGGGGACCGCAAGGGGGTTCCGCCGCAGGGGGTCCCATCATGACTGTGGTGTGGACGCAGCAGCATGCATTTGTCTTTCGGTTGTTGATCGGGCATCGGTGTGGCGTTCGGACCATGCTCTTCAGCCGGTTGGGAGAGCTCGGCTCTGAGTCTGATGCTGGGTGCGCTCGGTCGAGGCTGCACTGGCCGCTGCGTCCATGTCTCGGCTAGATCATCATCATCATCACCATCATCATCATCATCATCATCATCATCATCATCATCATCATCATCATCATCATCACCACCACCACCATCATCATCATCATCATCACCACGGCCATCATCATATTCATCAGCAACATCAGCAGCATCATCATAATCATCATCATAATCATCATCATTTCACTCATAAACACAGTCATGCTCATAAGCGTACTCATCATCATCATCATCATCATCATCATCATCATTTTCACCATCAGCATCATCATAGCCATCATCGTCATCACTATCATCATTATCATTATCATCATCATCACCACCACCATCATATTCACCACTATCACCATCAGCATCCTCATCATGATCATCATCACCATCAGCTTCACCATCAGCATCACCATCACCGTCCTCACCATCATCACCATCATCATCATCATCATCATCATCATCATTATCATTATCATCATCATCATCATCATCATCACCGTCGTCGTCGTCGTCGTCGTCGCCATCGTCATCATCATCATCATCACCATCATCATCATCATCATCATCATCATCATCATCATCATCATCATCGCACTATTCATGATCATCGTCGCCACCACCGGACTCACCACGAGCGGCCGAGCACGCGCCACTTGAGCCGCAGGGCCTGCGACCCGTGCGGTGGCGCCCGCAACCGCCTCGGCCCGAGCCGCTCCCCGCAGCCCGCCGGTGGGCGCCGACCGGCGGCCTGCCCGATGAGAACCCGGCGGCGGCGCCGCCGCCGCCATTGTAGGCCGCTGCCGCGCCGGCCGGCTTGGGCGGCATGCCGGCTGCGTTCCTGGACGTCTCCGGCGCGGCTGGCGGCGACGCGCTGCCGCGGCGCTCGGAGCAAGCAAGCGAGCACAGTTTCGGGGGAGGAACAAGTACCCATATCTCTACCCTCCCCTCGTCGCCACCGCTGTATTCGCCTTGAAATCCTGGTCAGAACGCACACTGGGAGAGGTCCGGGAAGTTGGGGTATCGGTAAATTTCGGTCTCCCCACAGCTCTCGGAGGAGGGCAGGCGTTCTGCTGGGGAGGCCACCCCGACCCCACCCGAAGGTCCCAGGTCCCAGGTGTCTGCGGGTTCCATGGTGTGTGTGTGTGCTTCGATGTTCCAGAACCCCTCGCGCACTGGGAACTGGCAAATTGACAGGCCTCAGTTGGATTGTGTGGCTCTGAGGGTGGCCAGACAAGGTGCCGATATCGCTACCCCTCCCTCGTCGCCAGGGGTGGGTTCGCCACGAAATCATGGTCAGAACGCACGCCAGAAGAGGGCCGCAGAGTAGCGTTAAGTCGGGCGTGTCCTTCTACAGGACGAATCTGTCAAGATAGCAAAAAATAGTCTGGGAACGACGTTATTTGCTTGCTTTCCTTCTCGCATGTTTTCACTATTTGTTTGGGTCTTTTTAGTTTCTCGCGCAGAATCCGCCTGTAGGGGGACACGCCCGACCTCAGAGTAGCGACATCGAGACATCTTTTGACACGTTCAGCATCGGCAGACAAGGTGCGGATAACGCTACCCTTCCCTCGTCGCCAGTGGTGGGTTCGCCACGACAGCCTGGTCAGAACGCACCCCAGGAGAGGGCCGCAGAGTAGCGTTAAGTCGGGCATGCCGCTCTACAGCAGGAATATTCAAACATAGTTTAAAACTAGTCTGGGAACGACTTGTGTGTCTGCATGTTTTCACGATTTGTTAGAGACTTGTTAGTTTTTCGCGCACAATCCGCCGCCTGTAGGGGGATACGCCCGACATAAGAGTACAATCAACCCGCATAGTAAGGATGGACAACCTCCCCAAGGGTACCCTTGCATCCCTGCCTCCTCGGTCCATGCTTCGCCGCTTTCGCTGTCCGCGCCCCGCTCGAAAAGCTTCGAAATGGGCGTCCAAGGCCCTTGCATCCTTGTCGCGCATTCTTTCTATACTAGTTGACTGTAGCGCTACCGAGACCTCTTTTAATAACACGTGCAGTAGCGGCAGATTCTTCCGCGTGTCCGCTCGGATTTTTCGCGGATCGGTGCCGTGGGAGACCCCCTGGCGGAGGCCTCCCTTCTGGCCCCGACCCCCCCCCCCCGGCGGGCTCGGGCGTCGCCGGGGAGGGGGAGTCCAACGCCGAGCCCCCAGGAGTCCGCGCGGACCTCTGGAAGTTCCTGCTCACAGTCGGACGGAGGTCCCTGCAGTTGCCTCCTAATGTCTGTGCAGTTTCTCCAGGCATCCTCATAGATCCGGGGCAGATGTGGCCGTAGCATCGTGCCGCTTCGTCGATGCATCGGCGATGCGGCTCGATGCGGAGCCCGATTTTCTCTACGCCGACGCAGCCGATGTAGCGCCGACGTCGCCGATGCACCAGTGATGCGGGGCGATCATCCGATCCCACATCCGATCATCGAGGATCAAAGAAGCCCTAACCCTCATGACACGAGGAAGACGCGGCGCCACTGAAGTCCCCGTCTTCGCATCAGGGATAATAAATTTGGTTGGTTTAGTTCGATGCATCTGCAGACAAGACCCGCTATCACTAATGTTCCTGGACCTCCCAACTCACGTCCCCTTCCAACGGGCTAGGGATCACTTTTTGGGTTGCGTCATCCGAGGCTGGGAGTTATAATACCGAGAACCACCGCCCGGGGGATCGATCCTCGCGCACCTCCGCAGGCCGTGGACGTGGATGTGTTCGGGCCCCTGTGGGGCCAATCCATATGTGTGTATATATAAATATATGTCCGTAGCCATATCCAGATCCATTCCCATATATATATATATATATATGTATATACACATATGTACATATAAGTTTATATGTGTTTACATACATGTATCTATACATGTGTAAATACACATGTGTGTACACTCCCAGACCCATGAATGTATACATACATATACATATATACATTTCCATAATCACATCAAGATGCATCTCCATGTGTTTATATATATATATACATATAGAGAGATGCTCGGGCCAAGCTCGGTCTCCCCCTCCAGGCACGTCGCGGTCCGCGGGCCCGGCGGCGCCCGCGGCGGCGCGGGGCCGCTGCGCGGGCACTCGGGCGGCCGGGGGGCGTCCAAGGAGGGTTTGTTCAGGAGGGAAGAAACACACACAGAGACAATGGATCGTCCACTCCCCAGAAAATAGGGGAACATATGGGAAAGAGGGGGGAAGAAAAAAAAACAAGAAGATATGGGGAAATGAGGGGAAAACATTTATTTGGAGGGTTTGGTTTGTGGGTGGATCGGCGGCGAGCGCGGGGGGGGGGGAAGTGAGAAGGAGAGTCAAGCAGTGGCGAAGCGTCCTGGCTCCCCTATAGCCCTACCAACACACTGTTCTGATAACCTTTTGTGGTTTCCACGAAGTGTTCTTAGAACACTTCTGGCGGAGTCTGTCTTGTTTTATACCATCGGGTTCATGGTCTAAGAACATTGTTTTTGTTCTTAGAGCATTTTTGGGTTTTAAGAGCATTCCGTGGTAGGACTATATATAATGCCGGGACGGTCGGTCCCTGCTCAAGAGAGGGCCTTTTGCAGGAGGAGGCGGGCCTCTTCGGAGGGGAGAGTGTGAGGAGGGGGGGGTGCGAGGAGGGGGAGTGCGAGGAGGGGGGGGTGCTGGGAGGGGGGAGTGTGGTGTGAGGGGGGGGCGCGGAGGAGGGGGGGGGGGGAGGGGAGGCGCGAGGAGGGGGGGTGTGAGTATGGGGTCAGGAGGGGGGAGTCCCGAGGAGGGGGGGACGTGAGGAGGGGGGGAGGCCACGAGCGGCGAACGTGTCCATAGCCACGCCCTCGCGGTCTGGATGGCGGGGCGCGGTCCCGTGGACTGTGCGCGGTCACGGGCACACGCTCCGCGAGGAGGGGCAGCCGCAGCACAGGCAAATTCCACATCCACGGGGCCGCGGCCCGGGGACACAGGCCCGCGAGGCCGCGGACGTCTGGGCCTCCCAGGATGGGGTCGGGGCAGGTTCGAGCAGTGGCGAAGCGTCCTGGTTCACCTGCATGGGGGCCCACCAAATCATGTTCTAAGGACCGTTTGTGGTCTGCACGAACTGTTCTTTAGAGCAGTTCTGGCGGGTGCTGTGTCTTGTTTCAAGACGTGCGTTCTGAGAGCATAGTTTTTTGTTATTCGAATTGTTTGGGGTTTACGAAAATTCGTGGCAGGCCTATAGGACTGCTGAGACGGTCGGTCCCTGCTCAACAGATGGGGTCGGGGGATCGCGCCGCATCACCGATATATCGCCGATGCGGCTCGCTGCGGAATCCGGTTTTCTCCACGCCGACGTCGCCGATGCATCGCCCACGTCGACGATGCATCGCCGATACATTCCTGATGCATCGCCGATTCATCGGCGACGCGGCGCGATCCTCCAACCCCGTCTGTTCGGACCCCATCTAGGAGGCCTCTAGATATGGATGTCTCTCCCGCCCACGATGAATGTCATGGCCGGGGCCTTAACACCTTCCAGATCTCATGGCCGCTCTTCGTCCTCTTCTGTTTTTCTTCTTCTTCGGCACACTCGGGTATGGGTGTGTCTCCCGCCATTCGGGATCCCGCAAAGGGGGAGGGGGTCGTGGGAAGTGTGAGGTCGATCGGTTTGTGTACCGATCCGCCCAAAACAGATGCCCCCCAGCCGCCTGCAACTCCCGATAGTTGCCGATAGATGGCATGAGGAGGGTATCTGTTTGCGGCAGTCCGGTGCACCAGCGGAATGAACTCGTGCCTCCCTCAGGGTCACCCTCCCTTTGGTGGGTCCCGACCCACGATGGATGACATGGCCAGGGCCGTGACATCTTCCAGATCTATTGGCCGCTCTTCTTCCCCTCTCTATCTCTGTGAGAACAATCTTCTGGACATTCAGATTCGTTTATAATTGCGATAATTCGTATGATTAGGGTTTCGTTAACATTGTTGTTGTTTTCATTCGTCTTCTATGGATTGTTGCTGTTGTTGCTTGAAGGTTGTTCTTCCCCTTCTTCTGCTCAGATCGTTCCCTTGCCGCCCCCCCCCCCTCTCGTCCGCGCACATGCCTCGGGCCACGCTGCGCCACACCCCCCTTCCCCCCTTTCCTGGTCCTTCCCGGCCCCCCGGCCGTCGGCGCTGCCGCAGCCACCCGAGGTGCCGCCGCGCTCCCGCAGGCGTTCGGCAGGGCCCGCCACGGCAAGGACTGGCCGAGGGGCCCTGTTTCCACCACAACCAGAAGTTGGAGGGGGAGGGGGTCCTCCTCCCCTCCCTCCTCCTTCTCCTCCTCCTCCTCCTCCTCCTCCTCCTCCTCCTCCTCCTCCTCTTCGTCCTCCTCCTCCTCTTCCTCCTCCTCCTCCTTCCCCTCTCCAACTTATGGTGGTGGTGGTGGGAAACCGGCCCATTACTGACGGGGCTCTCTGCTGCGGCGCCCGCGTAGATCGGCATCTTTGTACAGGTAGGGGACCACATGCGAACCCTACCCCTACCCCCCACGATTTCTGAGGGGGGTTGGTGGGGTGTGGGGGGGGAAGGGGGTAGGGTTCGCATGTGGTGCCCTAACAGGCCTTACAGTCGACCCGCATACCAAGGACGGGCAACCTTTCCAAGGGTACCCTTGCATCCTTGCCTCCTCCATCCATCCTTGGCCACTTTCGTTGGCCGCGCCCCACTCGAAAAGCTTCGAAATGGCCTTCCACGGCCCTTGCATCCTTATCGCGCATCCATATCATACGGGCCGATTGTATTGAACAATTCAGCGTGGAGGTGTTTCGTAGTTGGCGGTCTCTGGGGACCCTCGCAATCATTTCAGTACTGGCCCGGGGGAGAGTGTCCCGGACTCCTGGGGGCCCCGCATGGAGCCAAGAAGTAGATCGGATCTCTGGATCCCCCTATCCCTACTGGGTAAGCCTTGGCCCCTCTGTCCGGCCTAGCCCCCAGGTGGGGATATAACTAGCCAGTGTTGTCTATTTGAGTCACGCGGAATCTGCGCCCTCGCGGGGGGGTGGGGGGGGCAGGCTGGTGGCGCTGACCCAGTGTGGACGGGGATGCAGCGGAAACCCATGCCAAGAAACACTGTGCTTGCCTCCAGGGTGCCCTGGGTTTCTCGAGTTTCCATGGTTTCCATGGTTTTGCCAGAAATCGTGACGCTCCCGCACCAAAAGTCAATCGACGTCCTGGGGTCTCAGGGTCGGGTTTCCTGTCAAAGGTGTCTTGTGGTCCAGCTCCTACCGCAGGGGGAAACGGGCCAACGCGAACGGGAGTCCGCCGTCCCCCCCCTCTGATCCCGGTTGGCTGACTCGAGTTTGTGAGCCGCGAAGGGCCACGGGTCAGCGCTGTCCCCGGGCTGCGCGTCCCCATGTCTACATACGGTATATATGTATACACATATGCATGCATCCATATGTATATAACTATACACAGGTGATTGCAAGCACATGTGTAGGTATACACATATGTGCATACAAGTCCATGCACACATAACACTATATATATATGCATGCATACATTCATGTATGCATACATATACACATCAACATATACACATGTACGGCTACACACTTATACACTTTCATATATATATATATACATATATATGTATACATGCAACATATGCACACGCATGCACACCTGCATGCATGCATGCGTGTATGCACACAGCTTTGTATGCATACGTGTACATCTATAGATATACACATCTATATATATATATATATATATGTGTATGCATGTACAGATACATACATACGTATACACATTGCCAAGTTCTCGCGAGTCCCACGGGGCGAAGCTGCATCCCGCGCTACCGCTACCCCCGGCGGCGCCTCCGGCCTTGCCTCTGGGGCGGAGAGAGGGGGCGTCCCACGCTGGCCCAAGGAGTCCGCGCGATGCTCCGAACGCTTCCTGCATGCGATTGCTCGCTGTTTGCCCATGGGGGCTCCGGCTCCGACTCCGCATGGGACGCGCGCCGTCGTCCAGCGAGTGCAGTGAGCGGGCCCCAGCCCACCCGCGCTGCCCCCGAGGGGCCTGCTGGCCGACCGGCCGGCCTCGGCGCGTTCCTGCCCCCCTTCCTTCCACGGAGGAGCGGGCACACCTTGCCAGAGGTATGCGCAAGGCGCGGCCTTTGGGGTGCCGTGCCGGGGCCCCAGCGTCGCCACAGAGAGACCCGGGGGGAGAAATCGTCCCCGGGGGGATGGGTCGAGAGGTTCGAAGATTTGACAGGAATTGAGTCGACGGTAGGTTGATCTCGGCCTCCTAGATGGCGCCCGAGTAGATGGGGTCGGAGGATCGCGACTCCTGGCTTCTGGGGGGGAGACCTTTGTCGCCGCTACAACCGTGATCGGCAGCTGGATTCAGAGGAGGGCCGTTTGAGATACTGGTAGCTGGCCTTCTGGTGGGCCCCTCGCCGCCACGGCTGGACGCACCGTGGGAAACTGGTGCGTTTGGACCCTGGGAGGGGTCCTGGGACCGATTTTGAACTCCCAGTGTCTCAAGCCGCTTTGCCCTTTGCTCCGACGGATGCCCACGGAGTCTGAGTTCTGTCGAGGTGCCGAGTGGCTCGCTTCCGTGAGGACCGGCAGCGGCTGGTCGATCTTGCCATTGAATCTCTTCTTGGCGTCCTGCTCCATGTCGTTCGTCGGCTCGGCCTCGAGAAGGAGAGCCGTCTCCGCACCCATTCTGCTGGAGCAGAGTTTTTTCTCGGTCCACTTCATGGAAACTGCATCTGCCAGAGTCCTGCGCCACTGATTGCTTCGAGTTGTAATGGCTGTGGCAGGTAGTCCACCTGGAGCTCGGCTGACGAGTGGTGGATTGGCGCACAAGGCACTAAGTTCGCGGCATCAGCGCTCAGCAGGCGGACGCCGCTTCTGCGGCACAGCCCCGCGAGGCAGTTAGGTTGGCGAGCCCGCGCCCAGCAGTTGCTCGAAAGCGTCCTGTAGCCAAGTGGCCTCGTCCTTGTACAGTCGAATGTGGTTAGCAGGTCGAACCTTCCTAGTCAAGTGTGCCCTTGTGATCGGTGTTTCGCCTCCCGTGTCCTCTGCATTCCTGGCGCACCGCGGCCCTCGGAAGGGTCCTGCCCTTTTGCGCGTCCTCTTGTCAAATCCGGCCTGGGTCAGGGGTGGCGGCTCGCAGGCCCGAGGCGGTGCGGCGATCTCCCGTGTCAGGCTGGAAGACTCGTTACCCCGAAAGCGCACGGCGGTCAGCTGGGCTCGGGTCTCGCCGGAAGATGCCGCTCAAAGCGACCAACTGAGCGACGCAGACGAATCGGGTTGGGCTTCGCCTCCGTTCGCGCACAGGTTGCCCGCGCAAGGTTGTGCGTAAGTGCCCCCGTCTCCAATGTAGCGCGCCGCGCTGGCGGCCCGCGCAAGCCAAGGCGGAAGATCGCTGTGTCGTCTCGCGTGCAGTCAACGCGCCCAGTAAGGACGCGCGCCTTCGCCTAGGGTACCCTTGTGTCCTTGCCTCTGCAAACCGTTCTTTGCCGTTTTCACCGGTCGCCCTCCGCCCAGCAAGTGCCAGCTTTGGCCTCCAAGGGTCTGGCGTGCTTACCACCCGTCCTTCATACACGTTTCGACTAGAAGTCCCGTTTGTCTTGGTCGCTACATGGCAGAGTCCGCAGCTTTGGTGCTTATGCCTCTGGCGGCAGCACCGTCAGCGCGGGTGGGCCGCCCCCTGTGCCATGCGTTCTTCGGTGCGCAGGCCCGTGCGACGGGGGGCGCGGCCGGCAGGCGGAGCCGCGGGCCCGAGTGGAAGCGATCGAGGGTTGGAGGGAGGAACAGTTTGAGGACGATGGTGACGATGGTGACGAAGGTGATGACGATGGTGGTGTTGTTGTTGGTGGTGGTGATGGTGGTGGTGGTGATGTTGCTGATGCTGAGACTGATGCTGATGCAGTGCGTGCTGATGATGATGCTGATGCTTCTGGTGATGCTGCTGCTACGGCTGACAATGCTGATGATGAGGATGATGATGCTGATGCCGATGCTGATGATGAGGACGATGTGATGATGATGTTGATGGTGATGATGATGATGAGCATGTTCATGATTGTGTTGACGATGCTGATGGTCATGCTGATGATGGTGATGCCGATAATGATGATGATGGTGATGCTGATGCTGATGCTGCTGAGTATGATGATGATGTTGACGAAACCGACGGTGACGATGCCGATGATGCTGATGATGCTGATGATGGTGATGATGCTGCTGATGACGATGCTTACGATGAGGCTGACGATGATGTTGACAATGACGAAGAAGATCATGTTCACGATGCTGGTGACGATAATGATGACGCTGATCATGAGGTGGATGATGATAATGCTGCTGCTGATGATGATAATGGTGGCGGTGATGGTGTTGGTGATGGTGAGGATAATGATGATGTCGATGATGCTGATTACGGTTATGATGATGAGGATGAGGACGATGATGATGATGATGATGATGATGATGATGATGATGATGATGAGGGTTATGTTGTTGATGACGAGGGTATTTTTTATTATTATGCTTGATTTGTTCGCAATTTTCGTTGTATTCCGAATATCCAACTGTAATATTTATACTACGATTACTCGTGCACAGTGTGCTCATGGTGATGGTAATGATGTGTTGAACGGAAAGCCTTCGCAGTTGAGGATAATGATATGGCAGGTGATGCCGATGTTGATGTTGATGCTGCTGCTGCTGATGCTGATGCTGTTGCTGATGATGATGACGAAGATGATGATAATCATGATGATGCTGATGATGATGACGATGGTGACGATCATGGCTGCTGATGGTGATGATGCTGATGATGGTATGTATGATGATGATTATGAGGATGATAATTCTGATGACTATGATGATGTTGCTGTCAATGATGATGATGCTGACAACGATGATGAGTATGATTATGATGCTGTTGATGATGATAATGATGATAATGATGATGGTGATGCTGATGATAATGATGGTGATGCTGATGATAATGATGATTTTGATGATGATGATGATGATCATGATGATGATGATGATGATGATGATGATGATGATGATGATGACGATGGCGATCACGGTGATGATGATGATGATGCTGCTGATGGTGATGATGATGGTGGTGATGATGATGATTGTGGTGGTGGTGTTGTCGAGGAGCAGGAGGGGGAGGATGACGACGACGAGTTGGAAGAAGACAGGTTTGAGAACGTGGGGGCAGGGGAAGGATGACGAGGAGGACGGTGACGAGGAGCGAGAAGGACGAGGAGGAGGAGATTCCAAGGAAGAGGAGGAGGAGGAGGAGGAGCAGGAGGAGGAGCAGGAGGAGGAGGAGGAGGGCGACGACGAGCAGGAGGAGGAGGAGGAGGAGGAGGAGGAGGAGGACGACGACGACGACGACGATGGGGAGGAGGAGGGGGGGCAGAGGGGGCAGCATGGTGCAGGACAACGGGCAGGGCGCAAGCGGCGCCCAGAGGACGGCGACGGAGAGGAGGCGCCTCCCTGCCCCCCCGCCGAGGAGTCTGGGTGGCTCGCGTGCGAGAGCCCCAGCGACACGAAGGACTGGGGGCGGGCGCGAGTCGGAGGCCTCCAGGCGTCGGCTAGATTCGTCGGGACGATCGGAATGGGTACGGAATGGATGGGTACTCGGAGGTGGACAAACCTCCTACGCTGACACGTCGATTAGCGAATGGGCCGTTTTCGATTTGCGAGAGGGCGTCGCCGCCGTCATTTGTGCGGGTCCAGGTCCGTCGGTTTCGGTCCCAGGCCGTTTTCACTGAAGGGTGGTTTACTAAAGGGATGCTTGTCCACGGCCGAGGTACGATGCCCGATAGCAGTTCTTGTTTATTATGAACAGGACTCGCTGTCCGCGCCGCCGCGGATTTTGCGCACTGAGGGCACAAGGCCGCCTGCCCAACAGCGGCCGCTGTCGGTTTTGGACAACATGTGTTGTTGAGCAGTGTACCCATTCTTTTCCGTACCCGGTTCGGCCGTCCCAAACGTAAGGTGATCTTTCGCCGCACTGATTTTTGATGCCCTAGGCCTCCTAGATGGGGTCGGAGTAGATGGTGTCGGAGGATCGCGCTGCATCGCCGATGCATCGCCGATGCGGCTCGATGCGGAACCCTGCTTTCGCCATGCCGACGGCGCCAATTCATCGCCGGTACATCGCCAATGCATCGCCGATGCAGCGCGATCCTTTGTCCCCATCTACCCCGACCCAATCTAGGAGGCCTCTATCCAGACGTCGACTAGAAATCAGAGTGACCTTTCGCCAGAGTGACTTTGATGCGGGCCCAGTGGGGTCCCCCGATCGCCGAACGCAAAGCGGCAGCAGCGGCTTGCGCGCCCAGGTTTTGCTAGCCCGCGTTCCTTGTTGAAGCCGCGCGCCAATGGTCACTCTTACCCAGGGTCACTCTTACGTGTAGCCGACAAACGGTGGTGAGTCAGCGGAGGTCGAATGAGAAGCACCTCCATGAGCATGCAGTTTTGGAGTTCCGCGCGGAGTTCTTGGATATGCGCTGGACCCCCCTACCCTGGCACGCGGAGCGCGCCAGAAGCGGTACCGGAGGCGCCGTCGGGTGGCCCCAACACAAACCCGAGGAATCCGCGCGGACCCCCGAGTTTTGTATGTTTCTGTTCTTGTCTTTGCCCGGAGAGTCAGCGCAGAGCGGTCCGTGGGGCTTCTGGGCTTTAGAATCAAGTCGGGTATGTCCCTCTACAGGGGTAATATTGATATCCCGAAGAATAATATGGGGACGTCTTTTTAGTCTGCGGCCGCACGGGGTTGCCGTGCGGCCGCTTTCTGCTACGCCGCCGGGCGCTTAGTGTAATGCAATCTGTGTGGTGCAATCTACGCGGTGCAACTAATTTGCTGAACTTGAAGTTGTCTTCTCCATTGCTCGAGCAAACATCCCACCCTCCCACCCGCAACTTGGTCAGCAAAACTCACCAGACCGTGGCTGCAAGTACCCAGCGAAGCTTCCTAGCGAGTACCTGACGCCGACGTCGTCGTCGTCGTCGTCGACGCCGTCGCCGAAGCCGAAGCCGTCGTCGTCCAAAGGGGAGAAGGAATACGTTGCGCGAACGTCGTCGTTGAAGGAGCGCGCGAACGTCGTTGAAGGAGCGCGCGAAAGTAGCTCGCACGAGCTCGTGCGACCGAAATGTTGAACAAAAACATTGGTTTTTTAAGGTTCGGACAGCGCGAGCGGGCAACATTTTGAAAATCCGTGCAGGTTTTTTTCGACGACCTACGGTGCGATTCGTGTGTTTTTATGATACGCAGTGCTGAAATTCTCAAGAAACCCGATGGGTTTTGAAGATTTCGGCGCGCGCGCGAAGAAAAAACGAATGTGTCCCGCATGGCATTATTTGACAAGGATTATGCCTCTGGCAAGCGCGCAGCCGTTGTTGAAGAAGTTCGAAGCGCAGGAAAAAGTTGCTCGCAAGAGCCCTTTTGACAGAAATGTTGAAAAAGTAGTGGGTTTCCTAGGGATCCGCAAGAGCGCGCGGGGTGAATGTTTGAAACTTAAAAAAGAAAATGTTTTAAAAATGGGTGTTTGATGCTTTTATGTTAAAATCGCTACGAACACTAAGGTTTTGGAAGGATTTCGTCTTGCGCGCGCGAATGTGTCCCGCATGGTATTATTTGACAGGGATTCGCGAACAAGTGTTATGTTAGAAAGAAAAATGTCCCCGCATAGTGTTATTTGACAGGGAACCGCAGGGGGGGGGATACCGGCTTGGCTGGGATGGTATGAGTTCACATTTAGGATGAACATGTGGTCAGAATCATATGTGATTTGCAGCACGCGCGGGGGAAGCGATAAGTCTGGGGGGGGGTAGAATCTATTACTCTTTCCTAGAAAGGAGAATCTATGCAATGCAGCCTATACGGTGCAATCGATGTGGTGCAATCTATGTGACGGCGACGGCGGCGACGGGGGCGCACCGCCCGCAAAAAAGCCTGCCACTGGCCCCGAGCGGCGGCGACGGCGACGGCGGCGACGGGCGGCACCGCCAGCAAAAGCAGCCCTTCATCCCGAGATGGTTAAGCCAAGTAAGAGTCCCTGAGCGCAAGCACTCTGTATATCTCTATATATATACGCATATCTCTATATAACATAGAGAGAGGGAGAGAGAGTTTGGCGAGTCAGAACACATTCCCATCACTCTGACTGGCATCACCTCACCTCCAGGCTGCTCTTGAGGGTGGGTTCCCGCGGTTGCTGAGGGCACATCACTGAGCTCGTTTTTGGTTGCCCTTTGCCATCCGCCCCCCAGAACTCGGGTCTGCCGCTGCCTTTAGACGGCGCCGGCGTGAACCTTGACGGTCCGGTTCTCGTGGGGTGCTTGCAGCGGAACCTCGCGCCAGATTTCGGATTTCAGAATCGGCTCCAGCGTTTTTCTGACGGCCTTGTTGGGTATAGATCCGTGCCCCCAGAATTCGAGCCCTGCGCCTCCCAGTGCCCTCCCCTCGGCGCCACGGTTGGAGTTGGATCCGACTCGAAATCTTGAGTAGACCGCACCCCAGGGGAGGGCCGTAGCGTGGCGAAACACGCCTTTTCTCATTTCCCGCAGGGGCTGCGGCCTTGTCTTCATGGTTTTTCCCGACGCGCCCCCAGGATGCCCGCGTCCCTCGCCGCCACGGTCGAGACCTGCTGCAGGAGGACAGGGCGCACGCTTGAGCAGAGTGGGCAACGCTCCGTCGGCGTCGGCACATGCAGTTTCGCGGGTGCGCTCGGATTTCTCGCATCGGCGCTGGGCCCCCGGCGGCGCCGCGATGGGAGGGGGACGCCGGCGCCGATGCCAGGAATTCGCTCGGACCTCCGAGAGCGCATGTCCAGCCAGACGCAGCTCCTGGGAGGTTAAGTTCAGCATCGGCGCCGGTGCATCCGTAGGCAAATACCCGACCCACTCCCGCAGAGTCCCCTTGCATCGGGCTTGGTCCTGCTCACGATCGGGCCGGATCCTGGGCCACTTCTGGCCTGATCTGGCCCGATCGCCCCTGACTCCTTACTCGGGCTGACCAGCCTTCCCTACTCCGAGTCCCTTACATGACAAGCGTTCGGGGGGCGTCACCCCCGCCGACAGCCCCACATCGACCCTCGTCGCGGACAGCCACCGCGCGCCGAAGGCGCTCCGACCCCGTCGCGGCGCGACGACGAGGCGAGGTTGACCCCCGTCGGGGGGGTACCCCCCCACACCCACAGATTGAGAAACCCAGAGTAGTCTTGAGTCGGGCTTCTCCCCCTACAGGAGGAATGCTCAAAATTAGATTGTTTTTTGTTTAAAGGAAAGAAAATAGTCTGGAGGCAATTTTTTGTACTTTTTGAAGATTTGGGGGGCATTTTTCCTGTATTTCTAATTTGTCGCCCAAAATCCCCCCCGCAGGGGGACAGGCCCGACCTACGAGCAGTCGTCCTCGCGAAGACCTCCCAGGCGATGCCTCCGACAATAGCTCCGAGGCCCCGGAGCTTGCGTCCGCCCCAGGAGGAGGGGGAGGCCCCGCAGACTCCGCGCGGGGGCCCGGCCGAGCCGGCGTGCGCGGGGCGGGCGCTCCTGGGATGGGCAAAAAAACCCTTCTGGGGGCCCTCCTCCTCCTCCACGCTGCCCCCTCCACAGCCCCCCCCTCATCCTCCTCCGCCTCCTCCCCTCTTCTCATCATCATCATCATATATCATCCATCATCATCATCATCATCATCGTCGTCGTCGTCGTCGTCAGTCGTCGTCGTCGTCGTCGTCTGACCACCCCCCCCCCGCACGCCTGTCCTTCCATCGTCCCCATCGCCATCCCCTCATCGTCGCTCTATCCCTATATCATCATCACCATCATCATATCATCATCCCACCACCACCTCTCCAGCATCATCATCATGAGCAGCAGCAGCAGCCTCATCATCATCAGCAGAATCATCATCATTCATTACGGTCATCATCATCATCATCATCATCATCACCATCGTCATCACCACGATTATCGTCACCACCACCACGACACGCGAGCGGAAGAGAGAGCGCGCACCATCATCATCATCATCATCATCATCATCATGAGCAGCACCACCAGCATCATCATCATCAGCAGCATCATCATCATCACCATCATCATCATCATCACCATCAGCATCATCATCATGAGCAGCAGCATCAGCATCATCATCATCATCAGCAGCATCATCAGCAGCAGCATCACCATCACCATCATCAGCAGCATCAGCATCAGCGTCATCATCATCATCATCATCATCATCATCATCATCATCAGCAGCAGCAGCAGCAGCATCATCTTCATCCCCATCCTCCCGCTCCGCCTCTGCCCTCACCTCCTCCTCCTCCTCTCCCGCTCCTCCGTTTCCTCCTCCTTCCTCCTCCCTCCTCCCTGCCTCCTCCCTCCCTCCTCCCTCCCTCCCTCCCTCCCCATGTTCCCCTGGGAGGCGGGAGCGAAGCCTGCCAAAGACGGGGTCGGAGGCTCCCGCCGCCTCGCATAGGCATCGCCGATGCGGCTCGACGTGGAGCCTGGACTTCTCCACGCCGACGGCGCCGATTTTTCGGGCCGAACGAAAGGGGGGGATAGGGGAAGGTCGCTGGTGGAAAAGAGGGGGGTGATGACTAGGGGGGGGTGGATATCATGGCGGGGGCCATGATCTTTCCCCAGATCTCATGGCGCCTCTTCTTATTTCATTACGTCCCTGGCCCCCCGCTGGGCCGCGCACATGCAGCCGGTCATGATTTGCACCCCCCCCCTCTTGGGCACCCCCCTCTTGGCCGCTCCCGAAAAGGGGGGGTACGAAGTCTGCTACGTGCAGCTGGTTTCGTCCCCGCCGCCGGGCCCACTCCTCGGTACATGTTCGCCTCCCGGCGCCGGGAGGCGCCGGGAAAATCAGCTACGTGAGCTGATTCTCGACCCCCCTTTTGCTATCTCCCCCTGTCGCCCGGCCCGACACCAGCGTCGCCGATGCATTGGCGATGCATGGGCGATGCGACGCGATCCTTCGACCCCATCTGCTCGGAGCCCATCTGTTGGGCCTCCGCGGGGGCGAGCTCCGGACCCCACCCTCGCCGATCAGCGATTCGATTATTGTAGTGGCCTCCGGCCAGTGCCGCCGATCCGGGGCGCTCCTGACGCTATTGTTGTTGAAATGGACGATGACGACGACAACGGACGACCAACGGTCGACGAACGGGATAGTTACGACGACGACCGACGAAGGAGTTAATGACGACGAACCGACGACGACGACGTTGACGACGACGACGACGACGACTACGACGACGACGACGACGACGACGACGACGACGACGACGACGACGACTGACAGCGAACGGTTGCCGACGGCCGACGACCGACGACTGGTGACGGCGACGGGTGGAAGGTTCTTCGTTCATCGCTTTCGCTTCCGAGCAATACCAAGTCAGGCCGTGCACCTCTGGCCTGGCAGCACCCGAGTGAGCGCCTCTTGGGGCCTCTTGGTTCTTGGGGCTTCTTGGGGACCTTTGGGGCCTCTTGGGGGCCTCTCGGGGTCCTCTTGGGGGCCTCTTGGGGACCTCTTGGGGGCCTCTGGGGGCCCCTTGGGGGCGCCTCCGGGGCATCTTGGGGGCTCTTGGGGTCATCTTGGGGTGGAGGACTAGAAGGGTCCGTGCGGATTCACCCTCTTGAGGCCATCTTGGGGGCCTCTCGGGGTCGTCTTGGGGGGCCTCCAAGGCTATATTGGGGCCCTCTTGGACTGTCTTGGCTCCTCTTGGGGGCCTCTTGGGCTGTCTTGGGGCGATCTTGGGGGCCTCTTGGACCGTCTTCGGCGCTTCTAAGACGGAAAAGGCGATAATGTTAAAATGCTTCAAAACCTATTCGCAACTTGATTTATCGTTTCGCTTATTCCGCCGGCTCTGGAGCGCTATTTGGGGCCTCTTGTGGCCGTCTTGGGGGCCTCTTGGGGGCTTCTTTGGAGCGTCTTGGGGCTCCTTGGCGGCGTCTTGGGCTCCCCTGGGGCCTCTTAGGGGGCTCTTGGGGGGCCCTTGGGGCGGGAGGGGGGGGCAGTCGATTGCAGCCACCCCCCCGGAGGCCAATAGCCTTCCCCCTGGGGATCGCCGGGGACCCGGCCGGGACCCGGCCGGGGGTCAGCCGGGTTACTTTTCGTCCGGGGGCCCCCAGGGGCCGCCCCGCGCGCGCGAACTAGAAATATTGTGAAGTAGTTACCGGAGATCTTAGCACGCCTCTGGCCCGTTGGGCCGGCGAATTTGACACGGATCGTGCCACCCCAGCACGCGCGCAAGGGCGTTCGAACGAGTTCGACATGCGCGCGCGCGAAGCCCGTTTGGTAGAATCTTTTGAACATGTTGAAGACCGTATGGTTGTCTTCAGAACTCGCAAGAGTGCGCGCACACGCTTTTGTTGAACATCCGTGTTGCGAAACCCTTGTATATATGTATATCTATTCAAACAATTAGACGTCCGATTTTGACATCCTTCCAACACCGACGGTGTTTCAAGGATTTCGGCATGCGCACGCGACGACGCCTGCGTGTGCACTTTAGCCTTTTCTGTGCAAAGGGTTCTCGCGACGGAACGCGCGCAGGCGCCTTCGCACGATTGCGGCATGCACTCGCGCGAAGCCCGCTTGGCAACATGATCTGAGGATGTTGGAAACCGATGGTTTGTTTCAAGGATTCTCGTAGATCGCGCGCACGTTTTTTTTGAAACCAGGGATCTTGGGGGCCTCTTGGACCGTCTTGGGGCGATCTTGGGGGCCTCTTGGACCGTCTCCGGCGCTTCTAAGACGGAAAAGGCGATAATGTTAAAATGCTTCAAATCCTATTAGCAACTTTATTATTGTACCCTCTTGGGGCCCTCTTGGGGGTCCTTTTGGGATCTCCTTGAGGCGTCTTGAAGGCCTCTTGGGCCGTCTTCAGGCCATCTTGGGCGTCCAGAAGCGCTCTTGGGTCGTGGCGGGCGCCTCCTGGACCGTCTTTGTGGCCTCCTGGGCCCCTTTTGGCCCGTCTTGGGGCAGTTTGGGATTCCCGGGGGGGGGGGGGGGAGAAAGCGTGTCCCCCCCCAACAGAGCTGAAGCTCGCTTTCTTAAACTCACACTCCAGATCGGCGGATTTGTGTGTATCTATTTGTGTGTCCCAGGGCCCCTTCAAATTCGCCTGCCCGACAGCGGCCGCTGTCGGTCTTGGGCATCGCCCCCCATGCTTTCCGTGTTGTGCCCACTTCGGACGTGCCAAGCGTTGCTGCGCCCATTGCCGCCGTCGTCGGTGTCGCCGTCGTCGTCGGTGTCGTCTGTCCGTCCGCCCGTCGTCGTCGCTTTCCGTCGTCGTCGTCGTCGTCATCGTCGTCGTCATTGATGGTGGTCATCGTTGTCCGTCGTCGGTGTTCGTCGTTGTCCGTCGTCCTTGTTCGTCCGTTCTCGTTGTCGTCGTCGTCGTCGTCGTCGTGGATCGCCTTTGTCATCTTCATAGTCGTTGTCGGTCATTCTCCTCGGCGTCGTCGTTTCGAGTGTTCTGGTGAATTTGTTGGAGGGTCCAGTGACCACAGCTGGACGCATATCGAACAACAGGTTATGATTTGTTTGCATGGAGGGGTCGGCGGACCAGTGTTGAGCGGATCTGGGCTGGGGCCAGAGAGTCGCCGTTTTGGTTCCCGTCTTCAGCAACCCCTTTGACACCCCTCTGCGTCTCCAAGGGGGGGGGGTCACCGCGGATCAGTGCTGAGGCTCGAGTGGTACGCGCGGCTCAGATCTCCAGAGCCCGTGTCGACCAGGGAGGTGCCACCTCCCCTTTGGGTCTACAGTCCGAAGACGCTGAGTGGAGGTGCAGTTCGGGCTCGGATGGGGCTCGCTGTTCCATGGTTATGTCCCTCTTCTCTTTTGTACCTGGAGCACTTCCAGTGGCCAAGTGGCGTCGCTCAACCTTCGGGGCTTTACTTGTGGGTAGTCGCTCGACTGTGCGCAGATCCCAATGCGTCTGAACCGATGTTCGTTGTTGGGACTTTACTGGGGCTCGCCTCGCGGATCTGTTCGACTCTAGATCTGTTCGAGTTCGACTCGACTTGTGGAGTCCAAAACCCGGATAGCAGGGCAAGCGAAGGGCGTGGAAGACCGTGGCGAAGCGCTCTGGAAGAACCTGGAGAGATCTTCCGAAGGACCTTCTGGAGAGCTGGGCACGCGTAATGGGAGGTCTCTTCGAGCTCGACTCAATTTCGATGCAGGTTCGGCTCGAGCTCGACTCACGTTCGCTCTTGTCGACGGACGTTCGCCGCAGCGTCGACGCAGGAGTTGGGCGGGTGCCTCCAGGAAGGTCCCCGGAGCGAGCATTAGCCGAGTCTTGCCCCCCCCCCCCTCCAGACTGCGTTGCCCGTCTGCGAGTTCCGCGTCGTCCCTCCTCCCGCCTGCTCCATCCTTGGGGGGCGCGCAAACACGACTGAGCGATCCATTCGGAGGTGGACAGACCTCCTACCCTGACACGTCGATCCAGAAATTGGCCGTTTTCGGTTCGCGAGAGGGCGTCGCGGCCGTCATTTTTGCGGGTCCAGGTCCGTCGGTCTCGGCCCTAGGTCGCTTTCGCTAAAGGGAGGTTTGCTAAAGGGAGGTTCGTCCACCGCCGACCCATGGATTCGCTGCGCGGTCGCCAAATCCATGGATCGGGGGTGGGCGCCCTACCCAAAATGCGGCCGGTGCCGCTTCGGCCGGCGGCGGAGGTCCGCGAAGCGGGACCCGTCGCTGATCCACGCCGCCTTGATCCATGTGCGCGATCGCCCGAATCTCTCTTCACGTCCCCTCTGCGTGCGCGCTCTCTCTTCCGCTCGCGTGTCGTGGTGGTGGTGACGATAATCGTGGTGATGACGATGGTGATGATGATGATGATGATGATGATGATGATGATGATGATGATGATGAGGCTGAGGCTGAGGCTGAGGCTGAGGCTGAGGCTGAGGCTGAGGCTGAGGCTGAGGATGAGGATGAGGATGAGGATGCGGATGAGGAGGAGGAGGAGGATGAGGAGGAGGAGGATGAGGATGATGAGGATGATGAGGATGATGAGGATGATGAGGATGATGAGGATGATGAGGATGATGAGGGGGAGAGGACCGGCCGACGTGCTTGTATCTTGGGGGGGGCCTATTGGGGGTCCCCTCATCGCTTCGGCCGGATCCGCTTCGGCATCCTGGTCAGAGCACACTCTAGGAGATCCCAGGGTTTTCGGCAGTGCTGCTTGCGTTGTGAAGCTGTTCCTCAGGTTTTTGAGATGGTCCAAATCGCTTGAGAGCTTCCAGAGGGGGGAAGGAGGAGGATGAGAAGGAGGAGCCACTCCTGTCTGCGTGGCCATCGGCACTGCGGGATCGTTGTGCGAATTTCTCAGATTGAGGGGGGGGGAGCTTGAGCCCCCCTGCCCCACCCCCGTCGCTTCTCCGCATGCTTCTCGCCTCTTCCTGGAGTGCTGGTGCTGGGCCCCGCACAGGCCATCTTGATCTGCATAGTTGCCATGAATTTTTGCTCCGGTATATTACTGGTGAACTCTGTCAAGTACATCTACGCGATATTCGGATTCAATTTCCCGCTCTTCGTGGCCTCCTCGCACATGGTGTTCTCATGGGCCCTGACTTCCTTCATTGTCGGTGCCAGATCCGAGAAGGCTCAGTTAATGTCGCAGGCGCAGAGGTTGCACAAAGTCTTCCCCATCGCCGTCCTGAACGCAAGTTCCATCGCGTGCGCCAACTCCGCACTCCTGTTTATCTATTCCCAGGGCGACAGCAAAAACCTGGAGGGTGCTGATGCTCCGCCTCCTCGGCTCCCCCCTCTCCGCCTCCCCCCAGTGCCCGCTCTCCCTCCCTCCGGGGGCGTCGGGGGCGGACCTCGATATCCCCGCAGTTTTTGGGCCGCCCTGGCATCCTTCGTTTCACGAGATGATCCAGAGCACCACTCCCCTGTTCACGCTGCTCTGCGCGGTGCCAGGGCGAGGGGAGGAGGAGGAGGAGGAGGAGGAGGAGGAGGAGGAGGAGCAGCAGCAGCAGCAGCAGCAGAACGAGGAGGAGGAGGAGCAGGAAGGAGGAGGAGGAGGGAGGAGGAGGAGGAGGAGAGGAGGAGGAGGAGGTAGAGGGAGAAGGAGGAGGAGGTGGAGGAGGAGGGAGGAGGAGGTGGAGGAGGAGGAGGAGGAGGAGGAGGGTGGAGGAGGGAGGGGGGGGAGGAGGAGGAGCAGAGGCAGAAGAGGAGGAGGAGGGAGCAGAGGAGGAAAAGGAGGAGGAGGAGGGAGGAGGAGGAGGAGGAGGAGGGAGGAGGAAGAGGAGGAAGGAGAAGAGAAGAGGAGTAGAGGAGGAGAGGAGGAGGAGGAGGAGGAGGAGGCGGAAGAGGAGGAGGAGGAGGAGGAGGAGGAGGAGAGGGAGGGAGGACGAAGGAAGGAGGAGGTGGAGGAGGAGGAGGAGCAGGAGGAGGAGGAGGAGCAGGAAGGAGGAGGAGGAGGAGGAGGAGGAGGAGCAGGAAGGAGGAGGAGGAGGAGGAGGAGGAGGAGGAGGTAGAGGAGGAGAAGGAGGTCCAGTCCGGAATCCGGAATCAGGAAGTCTGGATTCTGGCATCCGAGGCCCAATCCGGAATCCAGAATCCGGAATCTGGAATTCTGGATTCTAGATTCCGAAGTCCAATCCGGAATCCTTAATGCAGAATCCGGCATTCTGGGTTCTGGATTATGGATTCAGAGGTCCAATCTGGAATCCGGAATTCTGTATTCTGGATTCCAAGGTCTAATCCGGAAGCCGGAATCCGGAATTCTGAATTCTGGATTCGGATTTTGGATTGGACCTCTTCGTCTTGACTCTCCGGATCGCCACTCATGCGGAGGGGGTGGGATGAGGATGAGGAGGAGGAGGCGGAGGATGAGGAGGAAGAGGAGGAGGATGGAGGATGGAGGAGGGAGGAGGGAGGAGGGAGCAGGGAGGAGGGAGGAGGGACGAGCGAGCGAGCGAGTGGCGCAGCAGCAGTCGGATCGATAGTTGCGGCCGTGGATGGGGATCGCGGGAGGGCGGGCAGAGATGCCAACCCTCCTGCTAGAATACAGCGACAGAATGGGCGCCAGGCCGTGCCCATGGCAGTCAGCGCCTGCAAACCAGGCACCAGATGAGCACGGTAGCTACATTACGGCACAGGCCGACTGAAGGCAAATATGCCTGGGTGGATGAAGAGGGTCCACGACAGGATTTCGCGGCCCAAAGAGAATTTGTCAGACGAGCCCGAGTCTCCCTCCCCAGCGCCACAACCCACAACGATGCTCGAGGCTGCCGCAGCAGCAGAAACAGAAGAGCACTGGGCAGTGGCACTTGCGTGGTCAGGAGACTCGGGTATGAGCTCGAGCTGGACACCCGTGCCAGGGTGCCTGCCATTCTCCGCACGAGCAAGCTTCCTGAGGTGACCATTGCGTGTCGCCTGCACTTGCGAAACACCGCGGCACATCCGACGAAGTCCCCGACAACAGCCATCAGGGAGCACCAAAGAACAAGCACAACTCAGGCAGATGATGATTCTACCGTGGCGTACAGGTCGGTGCTGCATGTCGCTAAAAACTTCGAGGCCGTCTTCGGCCGATCCAGAGGGGCCCCTGGACCAGGAAGAGGAAGAGGAGGGCCCCTAGTCCCCAGGAGGCTCAGAGGAGGAGGCTCCAGGCAGAGGCCCCAGGATCGTGTTAGCAAGCTCCAAGGCGGGACCAGCGGCAGCCGTCGAGTCAGAGCCCACAGCCAGGCCTTGCTCCGCTATCTTCTTAAAAACCATGTTGGCCTGCCATTGCTGAATGGCTGTTGGCTTGCATTCGCGACTTCCCCCCGTTCTCAGACCTTTGAGTGTCTGGTCGGTGGTCGCTGCCATGTTGCAGCGCCTACATCTCCATTCGGCACGAGCCTCTACATAACAAAGTTCATGCTGCGAAATCGATAACTTCGGCGCCGTACTTGGGGCCTGCCTGGGGGGAGGTTGCGGGGTTTCGACCTGGTCTCCCGCAGTGCTAATTATCTGGGTGGCACGTGCTAATACATCCCAGGTGAGCTGATGCTTTTTTACCTGTGCCCTCTCGGCCTTGACATAAACATCTGGAACTAGGTGCATGCCCGAACCTAGCCTGGCGAAAAAATCGGCCCATACATTTCCAAGGTAGTCTTGGATGTCTGAGCTCCTGCACGATAGTATATCATCTGGCCCTCGGTGCGCTGGGACCCATCGGAAACTTGGCCTCTGAAGGCCATCGCCGTGAAGCTCGAATATCTTGCGCCATACATCAGCATGCACATGTCGGGCAGCCGCCAGATCAGGATCCCACGAGCACCCTTCACGAACGAGCCGGAGGTGATCTGTGACCACTTCGGCCCCTTGGGGTGCAACTTCTATCGCACGAAGCGCCGCATACCTCTCAGCGCGGGGCACCGTCTGGCGCCCAGGCAAAGGCCCGTAGAGGGCCCTGTGGGGCACGCCCCACTGGTCAACCTCAACGGCAGCCCATCCACACCGTCTGAGTGCTGGGCTTGAGTTCGCAAGCCCTGAACCGTCGGTATAGATGCGCCTGCCCCAGGGCCCCGTCGTTCCACCCCAATGAACCGTGGGAGCTTCGGGAATCTCTGGAACACTGAGGGTGTAAAAAGGGAGCCCATGCGCACGCTCCAGAGTGTCCCAGTCGGCCTGTAATCCAGGGTACCCCGAGTCCCTTAAAGCCTCTCTGTGCTCTATAATGTCATCGGGAAGGGGCTCTACATCAAGATCCTCTGGGGGCAGAGTTAAAATTGGGCATTGGCACAGCTGGTGTCCTAGTGTAGCGTTGGGGTTCGGGCAGAAATCACAGGCGGGCGTCGCTCGACATCCTGCTGCACATTTCCCCGAGGGCGGTCAGCATCCTGAACCCAAGAGTAAACGAGCGCATCCTCTCCTGACGTCGTCCTTGATGCGTAATACTGCAAGACGAAGGCCGCGCCGCCACACTTCTTCATAACCAAATGCTTCAGGAATGTGCGCCAATATCCGTTTCATCTGCCATCGGCCGATGGACTCTTGCAGCAATCGCTTGACCTCCATGGGCGGCGTGTGCAGGAAGGAAATCATGGACCCTTTATCATGAAGGGATCGGCTCGGTTCGGTTCGGTCCGGTTCTGCAGCCGGGTCGGTTTTGCTTGGCCGGTTCGGTTTGGCATCGGTCCGGTTTCGGCCGGTTCGGCTTGGGTCTGCCGCCGGTTCGGTTCGGTTCCGGTTTTCGCGCGGTTGGGTCCGACCGGTTCGGTTCGGTTCGAGTGGCCGCTCCGGTTCGGTTCGGCCCGACTGGTCAGGTGCGACGTTGGGCGCCCCGTCTGCGCAAGCGACGACCCAGTTTGAAAAAAGGGAGGAGGAGGAGGAGGAGGAGGAGGAGGAGGAGGAGGAGGAGGAGGAGGAGGAGGGGGCGGAGGCGGAGGAGGGAGGAGGAGGACGACGAGGAGGGGAAGGAGGAGGAGGAGCAGGAGGAGAAACGTGGAGGCGTGGAGGCGCGAGGCCCTCCAGCGACGTGCCCCGACGGGGGTCGCAGCCCAGAGGGGGGTCGCAGCCACGAGGGGGGTCGCAGCCCCGAGGGGGGTCGCGCCCGCGAGGGGGGTTGCACCCGCCAGGGGGGTTGCACCCGCCAGGGGGGTTGCGCCCGCCAGGGGGGTTGCGCCCGCCAGGGGGGTTGCGCCCGCCAGGGGGGTGCACCCGCCAGGGGGGTTGCACCCGCCAGGGGGGTGGCACCCGCCAGGGGGGTGGCACCCGCCAGGGGGGTGCGCCAGGGGGGTTGCGCCCGCCAGGGGGGTTGCGCCCGCCAGGGGGGTCGCACCCGCCAGGGGGGTTGCGCCCGCCAGGGGGGTTGCGCCCGCCAGGGGGGTCGCACCCGCCAGGGGGGTTGCGCCCGCCAGGGGGGTTGCGCCCGCCAGGGGGGTCGCACCCGCCAGGGGGGTTGCGCCCGCCAGAGGGGGTTGCGCCCGCCAGGGGGGTCGCACCCGCCAGGGGGGTTGCGCCCGCCAGGGGGGTTGCGCCCGCCAGGGGGGTTGCGCCCGCCAGGAGGGTTGCACCCGCCAGGGGGGTTGCGCCCGCCAGGTGGGTTGCACCCGCCAGGGGGGTCGCACCCACCAGGGGGGTTGCACCCGCCAGGGGGGTTGCGCCCGCCAGGGGGGTTGCACCCGCCAGGGGGGGTTGCACCCGCCATGGGGTGGTCGCGCCCCCGCCCGCCTGGGGGGGTGCACCCGCCAGGGGGGTTGCACCGCCAGGGGGGTTGGACCCGCCAGGGGAGGTTGCACCCGCCAGGGGGGGTGCCACCCGCCAGGGGGGTTGCACCCGCCAGGGGGGTTGCACCGCCAGGGGGGTTTGCACCCGCCATGGGCGGGGTGCACCGCCAGGGGGTTGCGCCGCCAGGGGGGTCGCACCCGCCAGGGGGGTTGCACCCGCCACGGCTCCTTCAGGCGGGGTTGCGCCCCCCCATGGGGGGCGGGTTTTTGCACCCGCCAGGCGGGTTGCACCGCCAGGGGGGTTGCGCCGCCAGGGGGGTTGCACCGCCAGGTGGGGTTTGCACGCCAGGGGGGGTCGCGCCCGCCAGCCAGGGGTTTTGCACCCGCCAGGGGGGTTGCACCGCCAGGGGGGTTGCACCCGCCAGGGAGGAGTTGCACCCGACCGAGGGGGGTTGCACCCGCCAGAGGGGTGTCGCGCCCGCCAGGGGGGTTTGCACCCGCCAGAGGGGTTGCACCCGCCAGGGGGGTTTGCACCCCGACAGAGGGGGTTGCACCCGACAGGGGGGGTGCGCCGCCAGGGGGGTCGCGCCGCAAGGGTGGTTTGCACCCGCCAGGGGGGGTCGCGACCGCAGGGGGGTTTGCACCGCCAGGGGGGTTGCGCCCGGCCAGGCCTCAGGGGGGTTGCGCCCGCAGACGGGTTTCCGCGCCCGCCAGGGGGGTTGCAACGCCCCAGAGGGGTTTGCACCCGCCAGGGGGGTTGCACCCGCCTGGGGGGTTGCACCGCCAGGGGGGTTTTTTTTTCGTGTCTTTATTTTTGCGCCCGCCAGGGGGGTTGCACCCGCCAGGGGGGTTGCACCGCCAGGGGGGTCAGGGGGGTTGCACCCGCCAGGGGGGTTGCGCCCGCCAGGGGGGTTGCACCCGCCAGGGGGGTTGCACCCGCCAGGGGGGTTGCACCCGCGAGGGGGGTTGCACCCGCCAGGGGGGTTGCACCCGCGAGGGGGGTTGCACCCGCGAGGGGGGTTGCACCCGCCAGGCTCAGGGGGGTTGCGCCCGCCAGGGGGGTTGCACCCGCCAGGGGGGTTGCACCCGCCAGGGGGGTTGCGCCCGCCAGGGGGGTTGCGCCCGCCAGGGGGGTTGCACCCGCCAGGGGGGTTGCGCCCGCCAGGGGGGTTGCACCCGCCAGGGGGGTTTGCACCCGCCAGGAGGGTTGCACCCGCCAGGGGGGGTTGCACCCGCCAGGGGGTGGCACCCGCAGGGGGGTCGCGCCCGCCAGGGGGGTCGCGCCCGCCAGGGGGGTGCACCCGCCAGGGGGGTTGCACCCGCCGCCAGGGGGGTCGCACCGCCAGGTAGGGGGTCGCCCGCCAGGGGGGTTGCACCCGCCAGGGGGGTTGCAACCGCCAGGGGGGTCGCGCCCCGCCAGGGGGGTTGCACCCGCCAGGGGGGTCGCGCCCGCCAGGGGGGGTCGCGCCGCCAGGGGGGTGCACCGCCAGGGGGGGCCGCACCCGCCAGGGGGGTGGCCGCCAGGGGGGTTGCACCCGCCAGGGGGGTTGCACCCGCTGGGGGGTTGCCCGCAGGGGGGGTGCCGCCAGGGGGGTTGCACCCGCCAGGGGGGTTGCGCCCGCCAGGGGGGTTGCACCCGCCAGGGGGGTCAGGGGGGTTGCGCCCGCCAGGGGGGTTGCACCCGCCAGGGGGGTTGCACCCGCCAGGGGGGTTGCACCCGCCAGGGGGGTTGCACCCGCCAGGGGGGTCGCACCCGCCAGGGGGGTTGCGCCCGCCAGGGGGGTTGCACCCGCCAGGGGGGTTGCGCCCGCCAGGGGGGTTGCACCCGCCAGGGGGGTTGCGCCCGCCAGGGGGGTTGCACCCGCCAGGGGGGTTGCACCCGCCAGGGGGGTTGCGCCCGCCAGGGGGGTTGCACCCGCCATGGGGGTCGCGCCCGCCAGGGGGGTCGCGCCCGCCGCGAGGGGGGTCGAAGTCGCTGTCGCTGTCGCCGCCGCCGCCGCCGTCGCCGTCGCCGTCGCCGTCGCCGTCGCGGGTCGCCAGGGGGGTCGCCAGGGGGGCTGCCAGGAGGGTCGCCAGGGGCCCCCCCGGGGCTCCCCCGCGGCCCCCCGACGACGACGGCGACGACGACGACGACGACGGACGCTTGCCGACGCCCGCGCCCGCCGACGCCGCCGCCGTCGAGGAGGAGGAGGAAGCGGAGGAGGAGGAGGAGGAGGAGGAGGAGGAGGAGGAGGAGGAGGAGGAGGAGGAGAAGGAGGAAGAGGAGGAGGGGTCGCGGGAATCTTCGGGAGGTTCTGGGGTCATCGGGGTCCCGGAGTCCTGGGGGTCATCGGGGTCCTGGGGTCCGGACCAGAGGGGAAAGGGGTTCGGTTCGGTTCCCGTCGGTTCGGTTCAGGGGCCGCCCGGTTCCGGTTCGGTTCCGGTTCTGGTTCGGTTCGGTCCTCGCCGGCTCGGTTCTGAATGAATTCGGTTCGGTCCGGTTCGGTTTTCTACGTTCCTGGTTTTGGACCGGTTCGGTCCGGTTCGGTCACGGTTCCCGGTTCTCGGTTCGGTGCGGTCCCTTCATGCTTTATCATCGACAACTTGGTGTGCGGATATCATAGCCCAGCCAGTTCTAGATAGCGAAAGCAAAGTCGCACTCATGTGCCCGTGGCACTTGGCCCATGTGAGCTTATGTTCAAACTCGCGCTTCATAACTCAAAATGCTCACTGGAGGTCGGCAACTGAGAATATGTTGTCCCATATCGTGCTGGCAAACCTGACAACTAGCAAGATGGTCGCGCCATATATCGGGTCATAGAAATCGTCCGCCTGTGCGGGAAGCCAAGCTGTGATAGACACGTGCTGGGGCGCTCCCGCGAGTGCAGCCGCAATGGATCTGAGTGAATTGAGGGTAGCGTCGGTGATGCCGCTCACTCCTGCTCCATGTGCGGCAGCTGGTAGCAGTCATGTTCTCCACAAGGTTCGGACTTTGTGGTTCGCTCCTCTCGCAAGGGCGCGAAGCTTGGGCTTTCTAGCCATCCGTCCAGCAAGTCTTTTCTTCTCAATCACACGCTTGGCCTTGGGCCCAGACAGATCATGTCCAAGGTTACGCATGTGAGGATGCATCTTCTTCCTGAGACGTTTGGCGAAAGGTGCGGTTACTAGCTTGGCAGCCGCATTTGTCGCAACACATCCACTTCTAGCCGCTTGAATGACCAATCCCAGCTCAAAAGTACCTTCTGTAAAGTATTTGACGGCCGCGAACACAACCTTCGATTGTCTGGGGTCTTCCCCTGCCCATTGAAAGCCCGCGTCGTCCATGAGCATGCGCGGCGCGACTGAGTCAAAGAGGTCCCTCATCCGAAGCAGAAGCTGTTGCAGTAGCAAGTGTACCATCGTGGCATAAGAAAGTGACCCCGCGCACGTACAACTCGTGGGCACTGGTAGTTGGCTAATCTTTGCCAAAGGAGTCGTAGTGGTACCCAGCGCATAAGCAAAGTCGACTAGCTTCTGCAGTTTAATCATCTCGAAACATTTGCACATGTCGATCAGCACCGTTACTGACGTGTGCCCTTTGTATCGTGCAACTTCTGCTTGTCGGTTGTGAGAAAACGCTGAGTCCGATGATGCTGCAGCAGGCCTCGCGCCCCAGAAGTCAGAATTCTGATTAGCGCGCTCCCAGCTTCTCGACGCAGGTCTGCGGAGTCGGGCCCGTATACGCACAA